TAATATTTTCAACAACAAAGATAAATTTAAAAAAAGAAATAATCTTTAAATTTTTGTTAGTGTAATAACAATATTATTGGTAAGTAATTCAGTTTCTGTTTTCATGTATCAAAATTTTTCCACTTGCCTTAGGTCATTAAACAGAGTCTGCTTAATTTACTTTGCAGTACAATTATTTAAAAATCCATTTCTCCTGCTGACTCTTTGTGAATTGCAGAGACATAAGATATAGTTTTATCTCCAGTAGTAGTTCCCTTCAAGTGGGACTGAAATCTAAACAGATTTAAATATAAAGAAAAGTGTTTTAATTGGAAAAAAGAAAAAAAAAACCAGAAAGGGTTCATTAAAGCAACAGAAGAAAACCTGATTTGGGAACCTAAGAACTCTGGCAGAGCCACTGTAGCGAAGTTCCATGACCTGTTGTTCTGCCATGTGCTGTAAGGAACTCCCCAAACTCAAATGTACCAGGAAACTTAAAGGTTGAGTCTGGCTACAAGAAGGCCAAAATGTCCTAAGTTTCATAAGTGAGTGATAATAGAATAAAACACGTAGCTGGCAGAAATGAAATGCAGTGTGTCTGGAGAATTTCATGATGAGCACCTGGATTTAGTAATGACTGATGTCCTCCTTACATTGTTTACCTTTACCTCAGCTAGTAATTTGGGGTTGTACATCTTTTCTAATTTAATTTTGAATGTTGTTGCATATTTGGTACATTTCTCAACAGTGCTAAAGATGTTTATCTGTGTATTAAATCTATAACAATGTTTTGAATGTACACACTCCTACAGAAATGTTTCTTTTGTTAAGTAATTAAGTATTTGCTGTGAAAAAAAATGTTATTTGAGGCCATCATTTATCTTTGTATTTATTTTCTGTGTGCATATGTGTCTGTGTTACAATATTTTTTTCTTCAGATTTAGATTAAATCATACTGAGATGAATTTAAAAGGAAAGAAAGAGAAAGAAAATAGAAGGAAAGGGAGGGAGGAGGGAGGGAAGGAGGGAGGGAAGAAGGAAAGAAGGGCATGGTGGTGTGGAAATAAGAGGCTAGGTTTTGTTGGGTCTCATTCCCTTAGGGAAAAATTGCTTTTGCCATTTTATTTTTATGTACAATAATCTAAAAAGGATCTCCTACTGATTTGCTTCCTAATTATTGCTTTACACAAAAGAAGGGAAATATGTTTTCAATTGAGTTGTCTGAAGTCGCTCCCTTTGTGTAGATTTCCCAGGCTGATGTTTCATTGTAAGAATACATTATAGACAGCTTGGCCATTTCACAAGTAACTAATCCATGATTTTGAGATATTCTGCTGCTTTAAGAGACCTAAGTATCTTTGTTTTTAATAAAATGCTGAATGTTTAACTAAAGCTTCGGAATACTCTTTCTCTTCATAAGGGGGATATAAGGACTGAAAGAGGCAAGCATGCATCTGAATACCAACAATTTAAA